CGCTGTGGCTCAAGTGGTAGAGCGCTAGCCTTGAGCTGAAGAGCTGAGGGACAGCACCCAGGCCCAGAGTTCAGGCCCCACGACCGGACCCCCCCCCCAAAAAAAGAAAATCAATAGTAAGTTGTAAAACAAATACTCCAATTAGCCCTGAATCATTTTTCATAGGAGCTTTCATTTCTCTCATAAAAATGCTTTGTTGCTATATTTTGGGGACTTATCATTAACATCCTTTTCCTAAAAGGTAGAAAATCGTGTCAAAATATTCTGAGATGATTACACTTGAACAGGCCCTGGTGCTTAGTCCATTGGTGCTATAGGGCTTTGAGGGGGGATGAATAGACGCCCCTTTCTGCCCTAGTGCATGGCACTCAACCCAATGGCCTGTGACATCGCCCTCTGCTCTAGATTGCCAGATGTATGTGGTGCCTGGCTGAGTTAGGCTATGTTTCTACTGGCCGCAGAATTGGGGCAGAGTTGGTCTCCCTGAGGACTCTGCCCTGCAGAATCTGGAATTGTCCTCAAGACTTGTGGCTCCTAAAGAAAGCTGCAGAGTGTTAGATCTGCAGAGAATTGTTTTACACTGAGGTAGAGCCCACTGCTTCAGGGTCAGACGCTCATAATCCCATTTTGTCTTTCTTTCCACCAGCCACCTGCAGAAGGCACTGCTTGAGAAAAGGGAGAGGAATGAGGAGAAATGTCTCCTCAGAAGAAATCTCCAAGAGCCTTGCAAACTGCTCAGCTTTGTTTTTTGGCCTTTTTCCATTCAGTCTTGTTACAGAGTAAAAGGAGCATTTCAGAATAAAGTGCTACCATTAGGAAACTTGAAACCGCTCCTTTAGAACTGTTCCCTATATAAAGAATGCAGCAGAATCTTTTTGCACTTTGAGGACTGGATCATCTTTGTGTACTCAAATTATTATTATTATTATTTATTATTATTATTTTCCAGTTCTGTGGGTTGAACCCAGGGCCTGGCACTGTCCCTCAGCTTCTTTTTGCTCAAGGCTAGTACTCTACCACTGGAGCCACAAGTACCACTTCTGGCTTTTTCTGTTTATGTGGTACTGAGGAATCAAACCTAGGGCTTCATGCATGCTAGGCAAGCGCTCTACCACTAAGCCACATTCCCAGTCCCTCCTCAAATTATTTTGTTCTTAAACTCTCCTCACTCCCGTCCTGGGGCTTGAGCACTGTCCCTGAGCTTCTTTTGCTTAAGGCTAGCACTCTACTGCTTGAGCCACAGCACCACTTCTGGCTTTTTCTGAGTTGTTTATTGGCGATAGGAGTATCACAGGCTTTCCTGTCTGGGCTGGCTTTGAACCATGATTCTCAGATCTCAGCCTCCTGCATAGGATTACAAGGGTGAGCCACTGGCACCTGGCTTTTTTTTCAGAGTCTTGTTATGTAACCCAGGCTGGCCAGGATCTTACTACATAGTCTAGGCTGACCTGGAATTTCCTCTATAGCCCAAACTGGCTTCAAACTCTTCATCTTTCTTCCTCAGCCTCCCAAGTACCGAGTTTATAGGTGAGAACCACCATGCCTGTCTTGTTCTCAAACTTTATTTAAAAAGGGTATGGGGGGGGCGGGCTGGGAAGGTAGCTACATGGTAGGGGACTTGTCTCGCATGCATGAGGCCCTGGGTTCGATTCCTCAGCACCACATAAACAGAGTCCTAGCCTTGAGCTGAAGAGCTGAGGGACAGAGCCTAGGCCCAGAGTTCAGGCCCATGACCAGCAAAAAAAAAAAAAAGAAAAAGAAAAAGGGTATGAGGGCTGGGAAGGTGACTCAGTGGTAGAACACTTGCCTTGCATGCACAAGGTCCTGGGTTCGATTCCTCAGCACCACATAAGCAGGAAAAAAAGCCAGAAGTGGCACTGTGGCTCAAGTGGTAGAGCACTAGCCTTGAGCTGAAGAGCTGAGGGAGGCCCAGAGTTCAGGCCCCATGACCAGACCCCCCTCCAAAAAAAAGGGTATGAGAGAATGAGGGAATAGATGACATGGTGCAAAAGGAAATGTACTGCTGGACGCCCGTGGCTCACGCCTGTAATCCTAGCTACTCAGGAGTCTGAGACCTGAGGATCCCGGTTCAAAGCCAGCCCGGGCAGGAGAGTCTGTGAGACTCTTATCTCCAATAAGACACTAGAAAACCGGAAGTGGCACCGTGGCTCAAGTGGTAAAGCACTAGCCTTGAGCTGAAGAGCTGAGGGACAGCGCCCAAGCCCAGAGTTCAAGCCCCACGACTGACCAAAAGAAAAAAAACAACAAAAAGAAATGTACTTATTACCTGACATATATAAATGTAACCCCACTGTCTATTACCTTGAAAATAATAAAGAAATTTTAAAAATAAAAATAAAAAGGATATGAGAGTAACATTAAAAATTCTGTCATTAGCCCGGCGCCGGTGGCTCATGCCTGTAATCCTAGCTACTCAGGAGGCTGAGATCTGAGGATCCCGGTTCAAAGCCAGCCCGGGCAGGAGAGACCGTGAGACTCCTATCTCCAATAAACCACTAGAAAACCGGAAGTGGCGCTGTAGCTCAAGTGGTAGAGTGCTAGCCTTGAGCTGAAGAGCTGAGGGACAAGCGCCCAGGCCCAGAGTTTAAGCCCCACAACCGACCAAAAAAAAAAAAAAAAAAATTCTGTCATTAGATAGTACAACACTCCAACAACACCAATAACATATTTAAAGGTGACTTTAAATATCCTACAAAAAATCAACCTTTTTTTTTTTTGTCGGTTGTGGGGGTCTGAACTCTGGGCCTGGGCACTGTCCCTCAGCTCTTCAGCTCACGGCTAGCACTCTACCACTTGAGCCATAGCGCTACTTCCGGCTTTTTTCTTTTTGCTTATGTGGTGCTGAGGAATTGAACCCAGGGCCTCATGAATGCAAGCACTCTACCACTGAGCCACCTTCCCAGCCCCAAATCAACCTTTTTATATGTGTGTGGCAGTACAGGACCTTGAACTCAGGACTTGGACTTTGTCCCTTAGTTTTCTTCTTTGTTTATTTTTGGGTTTTGTTCTGCTTAAAGCTGCCACAGCTCTTCTTCTGGCTTTTTGATGGTTAAGTGGAGATGAGAGGCTCGCAGACTTTCCTGCCCAGGCTGGCTTTGAACTGTGATCCTCAGATTTCATCCTCCTGAGTAGCTAAGATTACATGCATGAGCCACTGGAGCTGTATTTATCTATTTTTTAATTGAGCAAATGGGCGACCAACCTTGGAGAACTTGGTTGAGGAAATTCTTCATCATGTAGATGGCTGTGGTGTCTTCCGTCTTTATGTAGCTATCTGTGAACCAGCCATTCTCAGTAATCAAGATCCGAGGGTTGTTGTATTCTAACTTAATCCAGTTCAGCACTTGTCTCAAATTGAGCGACACATTTTGCCCCATTTTGTCCATGGTGTTCTGAGGCTTGAAATTATTGGGTCCAAAGGAAAAAGCAAAAAAGTCAGCAGTGCCCTTCACCTCCTTTTTCTCTGTGTCTGAGAAAAGAGGTAGAATAGACAGCCACTTCTTCATGTCCTCGGGGTAGTCGCCGTTGCCGTGAATGGGGCTAGCAAACCAGCCAAGCACGGAAGCAATGGATTGCTGGCACCTGAGTATATCCATCTGATTTTCCCATCTGTTTGGCTCAATCCAGTGGGACCCCAATGTGATTGATAACCAGCCCTTCTGATGTGGGCGGAAATTTCTGTTGTAGTTATGCCAAACTTTTGAATGAGCCTAAGGGGGAAAAGTTATTATTATTAAAGTTATTATTATTCTTTTTGGTGCCAGTTCTAAGGCTTGAACTCAGGGTCCTAGGCACTATACCTGAGCTTTTTGCTCAAGGCTAGCACTCTACCACTTGAGCTGCAGTTCCATCCACTTCTGGCTTTTTGGGGGGTAGTTCATTGGAGATAAGAGGCTCTTGGAACTGGGCACTGTGGCTCACGCCTGTAATCCTAGCTATTCAGGGGGCTGAGATCTGAGGATCATGGTTCAAAACCAGCCCGACTGGTTTTGAGTCTGTGAGATGCTTATCTCTGATAAACTACCCAGAAAAAGCTGGAAGTGGTGCTGTGGGTCATGTGATAGAGCACTAGTTTTGAGCAAAAGAAGCTCACAGACAGCACCCAGGCCCTGAGTTCAAGCCCCAGGACTGGCCAAAAAAAAAAAAAATCATGGACTTTATTGACCAGCCTGACTTGAACCACCATCCTCAGATCTTAGCATCCTGAGTAGCTAGGATTACAAAAGCGTGAGCCACTGGCTAAAAATATTATTATCGACTATTGTGCTTACTTATCTTTTGTTGTTGTTGTTTTTGTCTGTAGGGCTTTAACTCACGAAGATGCTATCTTTGAGCTCTTTTGCTCAAGGCTAGCTCTCTACCACTTGAGCCACAGTCCCACTTCTGGTTTTCTGGTGGTTAATTAGAGATAAGAGTCTCACAGACTTTCCTGCCTGGGCTGGCTTTGTACCACAATCCTCAGAGCTAAGTCTCCTGAGTAGCTAGGAGTATAGGTGTGAGCCACCAGTGCCTGACCCTCTTTTTATTTGGGGGGGAGGGGCTTTGCTAAAAGTGGTGTTCTATCACCTGAGCCACACTTTCACATCCTTGTTGTTGTTATTGGATAATTGGAGGTAAGATTTTCACAGTTGGGCCTGGGAAGGTGACTCAGTGGTAGAGCGCTTGCCTTGCTTGCAACAGGCCTTGGGTTCGATTCCTCAGCATCACATAAGCAGAAAAAGCCAGAAATGGCACTGTGGCTCAAGTGGTAGAACGCTAGTCTTGAGCTGAAGAGCTAAGGGACAGAGCCCAGGCCCAGAGTTCAGGCCCCAGGACCGACAAAAACAAACAAACAAAGAAAGATTCTCACAGTCTTTCCTGCCTAGGCTGGTTTCAAGCCATGATCCTCAGATCTTAGCCTCTTGGTAGTTAAAATAACAAGCATGAGCCACAAGCAGCTTGGAATTGTTTTTATAATAGTGGAGTTTGAATTTTAGGTATTGCTTATATTTCCTGAGCAGTTGTTCTATCACATGAGCCATGCATCATATTTTTTTGCTTTAGTTACTTTTCTGGTAGGGTCTTGATTTCTTTTTTTTTTTTTGGCCCAGGACCAAACTCAGCCCATTATCTTCCTACCTATGCCTCCCTAGTAGCTAGTATTACTGGAGCAAACTACCATGCCAGGTTTATTGATAGAGATGGGGTCTTATGAAATCTTTATCTCGGATGGACTTAAAATGAGATATTCTCTCCCTTTTTTTTTTTTTGTCTGTGGTGGGCCTTGAACTCTGGGCCCAGGTGCTGTCTCTGAGCAATTCAGCTCAAGGCTAGTGCTCTTCCACTTAAGCCACAGTGCCTCTTTCGGTTTTTGAGTGGCTAATTGGAGGTAAGAGTCTCACGGGGACTTTTTTGCCCGGAATGGCCTTGAACCTTGATCCTCAGATCTCAACCTCCTGAGTAGCTGGGATTATAGGCATGAGCCACTGGACCCCTGATGGGATACTCTTTTCTGCTTATTGAATAGCTGGAATTATAGAACTGAAACACTGTGCCTGGCGCTTCACCAGGCTGAAGGTGTTTTAAGATGGTCGAAGGTGTTTATATTGACCCAATTAATGAAACACTGGTGACCTTGGAAGAAATAGCTGGAAAACTCTGCTGACTTCCTTCGTGTGTCCCCTCCTCCCTCCTACAGGGTTTCTGAGGTTGTCAGAGGCTGTTAACTTCACCTCTGCCAGGCTCTCTTTCTGGGCCTTCTTAGGCAGGGTATGGATGAGACCACTTGGATTACAGGTTTCCTCCCCTACATAAAGGACAGAGGGGCCAGGCATTGGCGGTCATACCTGCAATCCTCGCTACTCAGGAGGCTGAGGATGGCGGGGCAAAGCCAGCCAGGCAGGAAAGTTCACCAAGACCCTGACATCCAAATTAACCATCCAAAATCCAGCAGCAGAGCTGTGGCTAGAGTGCTAGCCTTGAGCAAAAAAGCTCAGGGAGCCGGGCGCTGGTGGCTCATGCCTGTAATCCTAGTTACTCAGGAGGCTGAGATCCGAGGATTGTAGTTCAAAGCCGGCCTGGGCAGGAAAGACCGTGAGACTCCTATGTCCAATAAACCACCAGAAAACCAGAAGTGGCACTGTAGCTCAAGCGATAGAGCACTAGCCTTGAGCTGAAGAGCTGAGGGACAGCGCCCAGGCCCAGAGTTCAAGCCCCACGACCTACAGAAAAAAAAAAAAAAGCTCAGGGAGAATCCAAGATGGTGGACTAGAGACAGGGCAGTCCCAGAGCTCTGTCTGCTCAGTAAGAAACACAACGGTCACGGGGCTGGGAAGGTGGCTCAGTGGGAGAATGCTTGCATGAAGCCCTGGGTTTGATTCCTCAGCACCACATAAACAGAAAAGGCTGCAAATGGCACTGTGGCTCAAGGTAGAGAACTAGCCTTGAGCTGAAGAGCTCAGGGACAGCGCCCCAGCCCCACAATCAACAACAACAACAAAACAGAAAGAAAGAAGAAAAAGAAAGAGAGAGAAAGAAAGAAAGAAAGAAAGAAAGAAAGAAAGAGAAAGGAAGACAGACAAAGCTCTAATCTGGAAATGAAGCTCAGGAGTGGACACCAGGGAAAGGCAAGCAGTTAGAGCCTGTGCCAATCAAGAAATATCACACTGCCAGGCTCTGATGGCTCACGCCTGTAATCCTAACTACTCAAGAGGCTGAGATCTGGGGATCATAGTCCAAAGCCAGCCCGACCAGGAAAAGTCCATGAGACCCTTATCTCGAATAAGCCACTCAGAAAACTGGAAGTGGCACTGTGGCTCAAGTGGTAGAGTGCTAATCTTGAGCTGTAGAGCTGAGGGACAGTGCCCAGGCCCAGAGTTCAAGCCCCATGACCAACAACAAAAAGAAACATCACACTAATTACTCAGAAAGAAGAGAGAAAAAAATACACAAGTCCATGTAACCAGATAAATGGGCAAATGAGCAAAGGAACTAAGGAGAGACTTCTCAGAAGAAGGGGTAAGAATGACAAAGAAACACATGAGGAAATAGTATCATTGGCCATAAAGGAAATGGAAATCAAAATAACTCTGAGATTTCTTACCCCAGTTAGATTGATCAACATTGTGAATTCAAATGATGTTGGTGGGGATGTCTTACTGTCTTACTATTGGTGGGAATGTAAACTAGTACAACCACTCTGGTCAGCAGTCTGGAGATTCCTCAAAAAACCAAATATGGCAGGGCGCCAGTGACTCACACCTGTAACCCTAGCTACTCAGGAGTCTGAGATCTGAGGATCATGGTTCAGAGCCAACCTGGGCAGGAAAGTTCATGAGACTTTTTTTTTGAACTCAGGCCTGGGCACTGTCCCTGAGCTTCTTTTGCTCAAGTCTAGCATTTTACTACTTGAGCCACAGTACCACTTCTGGCCTTTTCTGTTTATGTGGTACTGAGGAATGGAACCCAGGGCTTCATGCATGCTAGGCAAGCACTCTACCACTAATCCACAACCTCACCCCCTGTTTTAGTTTTCTTTTTGTCTTGTTTATCTGTCTTTTGTAGGGCTAGAGGGGCACAGAAATGAATGGACAAAGGGTGAAGAAGCAGCAGTGGTACTCACTAGACACTGTGTTGAAAATGAACTATACAACTTGTGGGTGGGATAAACACAGTGCGAAGGGGAAGAGGTGACATTGTCCAAAAAATTATATAATGATCAGACAAAACTAAAAAAAAATAAAAAGCTCAGGGACCGAGCCTAGATCCTAAGTTTAAGCCCCAGTACCAGCACACACACACACACACACACACACACACACACAAAAGGTGGCACTGCTGAACACAGAAAAACAATGGAAAGAGTGTGAACATTGGGATCAGCACACCTGGCTGGAAGTTCAGAAATTTACTGTGTGGTTGGAGGCAAGTCGCTTAACCTCTTAGTGCGGTCAGCTGTATGTAGAAGGAGACTGGAAATACTGACATCCTTTGGAGGGCTGTGCTCCAATCTGGAGCTACTGCATCTATATGACAAGTGGTATATAGAATGGAGCACATACACAACCCACCGAGAGATGGACATCACTATCATGCTGTCTTCTAACAGAGGCCAGTGATTACTTTCTAGTCTATTTGACAGGGATTTATGAGGCACTTATTCAATATCAATGTTTGGCTTGCTCTCCCCAGAGAGGTGGAAACATATGGCACAGGAACTTACCAGTGAGGAGCTTCCTTATTGTCAAAGAAGCCTGAGCAGACATGGACGTGCTTTACCTGTGTTATGGCCGCTGCCCTTCCCGAGCATGCGCCTTGCTGGCCTCTGCTTTCTCCCCATGTCTCTCAATTGCCCTTTTATTTGTAAAACTAATGTAACAACACTTGTTATTTTTAACCCACAGACCGTTTTCAATTTTATGTTTTGGTCAGTTGTGGGGCTTGAATTCAGTGCCTGGGCACTATCCTTGAGTTTTTTTGCTCAAGGATAAAGCTCTGCCACTTTGAACCACAGTGTCCCTTCTCGGTTTTGGGTGTGTGATTGGAGATGAGAGTCTCATGGACTTTCCTACCTGGCTTTGAACTGTACTCTTCAGATCTCAGCCTCCTGAGCAGGTAAGATTAGAGATATGAGACACCGGTGCCTGGTCCATTTTCGTTTTTGTTCCAAAGCTTTTCTTTTGCTGGTAGCAGCTTTATGTTATACAAACCATCATGTGAAATTACCTCTTGG